GTGTGTTATAAAAAAAAATTTTTTTAAAAAATCTTAAAAAAAAATAAAAAATCTTTACTTCTTGATTTGGTCCTGGACCTTGTGGTACAGGCTTTCTAATGTTTCTTTTTGAAGAAGATATATTGCTATTACTGTTATTAGACTGATTTGCTGCTGCTGAAGCACTATTATTATGGATATTGTTAGATGATGAATTATGAGAATAAGGTGACATTTGGTTTAAAATTTAAGGGTTGAGACTTCCCTATAAATGGGATTTATCATTATGATCTGCAAATATTATAAAAATATTTTTATTTTTGTAGAGAACAACAACGATACCAATATATGAAGGTTTGTCTGTAATGTGCTTCCGTTTAAATCTGGTCTATATAAATTTATCATTATTTTTCTATTATTTTACATATTATAAACCAATTAAGCAAACGTAATCAACCTCTTTTGTTTAAAAGTTTTATCAGCGAGTTCTTCGTGGTCACATTTCAATCGACAATAAACCTGTATAATGTCTTTTAGTTATTTTACCATTTTCATTCAATTTACCCACTACTTCCTCAATTACATCAAATAACTTTAAATACATGCTTAGCTTGTACTCATAAACAATTTTCACAATTTCCACACAGAGGTATTATGATTATTATTATTATTATTATTATTATTATTATTATTATTACAGTGTTAATTGTCAATTGACAGAATAAATTTATTTATTAATTTTAGACCCTAAAAGGTGTATCCATGTTGTTAAAACTGATGGCGAAAATATTAATATAAGTTGGAGTTGGGACGGTAATATGGTAGCAGTAGGAGATAAGGTTTATATTAACATCGATTGTGAGATTGTTATTATATAATGAGGAGGAAAATAAAAGATAAAAAATATTTATTTTATTTATCTATTTTCTTAGGATGATAAAATATCATTTATAGATAATAAGAAAAATCCATCTACACTACCTTCCATTGTTAATCATTATTTTGAAGATAATGATTCAAGAGATGAAGTACATTGTTATTATTTTATTATTATATTATAATAATTATATATATATATATATGTATATATCAATATTTAACAAAAATTATTTTAGATTAATGAAATAAGTTGGAATCATGACTGTACAATGTTTTTCTTAACCACAGGATCAGGAGCAATTAAAATATTAGAATGGCCATCATTAAAACACATTCATACTTTAAGAGGTCATACAGCAAATTGTTATTGCATAGACTTTGATCCTAGGGAAAGGTAAGAACAATTTGAAAAAAATGTAAATGTAAATTTGAGAATTTGTTTTAAAAAAAAATTAGTAATATTATTATTTGATTTATTATTTATTAAAATAATGATCATTAGATATGTTGCAGCAGGTGGAGCAGATGCACTTGTAACTTTATGGGATATAGAAGAATGTGTTTGTTTAAGAACATTTGGAGAATTGGAGTAAATATATTTATCATCATCATATTATTACAACATGTGAATTAATTAATTCATTGCAAATTTTTAAATAATTTATAAATTAAAGATTTCCTGTCAGAACAATAAGTTTTACATATGATGGTGATTACTTGGCAGCAGCATCGGAAGATGAACACATAATAGTGGTAAATATCATCATCATCATCATCATAATAATAATATAATAATAATACTAGTTTATTAATACTAATATTAAAATTTTTTTAAAGTCAAATGTAGAAAATGGGAGCACAGTATATAAAATAAAAACAAAAGCAGCTACAAATTCGGTTGCATGGCATCCAAAAGGATATTTATTAGCATTTGCAGGTGATGAAGAGTCATCTATTGATAGAACTTATGTTGGACTTAAAATATTTGGGTTTAATGATTTGAATAGTTGATTTTTCTAGTAAAATATAATTTTTTTAAAATTATTATAAGACGCAAAAATTATTTATATGAGAAGAATATTAGAATAAAATTTATTTATTTTTAACCTTCTAAACTTTTTAAATAAATGCATTAAATTGATCTAATTGGAAAAACGTACACAAAAAATACATTAACTTTGTTATATGACCACATTATATCATGAATTTTATCTCATTGAATTTATAAAATCTTAATCTTCTTCTCCAGGAAAACTTTACATTGCAAGGTTAAAAATTAAAAATCGTCATTCACAAAAGGATCAACAACTAATTACTTGATTTCTAAAATTAACCATTTTCTACTTTGAAACCTGCTTCCTTAGAAAAACTATAGGATCTGTAAAAATCATGTACCCGGTTTGATTTTTTAGATAGTACAGTTTATACATGTGGTAGAAATAGTTTGATCACTTGACTCAATCAGGTGACTTTTTGACGCAATTAATTAAAAAATTGAGATTTGGGAATTGAGTCAAAGCCAAATTAATTTGACAACATGTATATACAGCTTATATAATTAAAAAAAAATTTTTTTTGAAGAACTAAATTCCTCGATTCATTGGAGTATAATGATTGATGAAATCAATAGTATTGACAATGATAAATGTATATTATATATGAGATATTTAGGTAGACTCAACTGATGGTGAAAATATATTGATAATATTATTTATTTTGGAATTGAATAAAAGTTTATTTTTTATTTTAACTAACAATTACTTTAATTGTTGGGATACATAAATGGTGCTGCAGCAATATTTTAAAAATTTTTCAATACATTCATAACTTCAAACCATTCTATATCACACAGACTTCATCTAGCTAGAAAAAATGCTTCAGGATTTTAAAAAAACTTGTATGGTTATGTTTTAAAATCTCATAGTAATTATTTTTTAATCTGTTTTTTCATTTTTATCAAATATGTGTGAGGAGGTGAGTAATTTATGAAATTGAATCTTTTGAAAAAAAATATTTAAATTTTTATTCAAGTATCAGAAAGTATAGATTCTTTGATTGCATTATTGCTGTTAATAGGTATCAAAATCTTGGATGTCATTTGAAAAGAATACAATTTACTTGTTGTTGTGCGCCTCTAAGAAACTTACTGTCTTAATGAAAGTTTTCAGAGAGAAAAATAAATTTTATCCTAGTCTGTAAGAAAAACTAATCCTTTTAATCTAGGGTATTAGTAGAGTTTACGGTACACAGTCGTATACACGTCTATGTTTTTAAGACTCTTTGTTTTTTACTTTCCCAATTCTCATACGGTTTTAGTCTTCAAAATTAATAAAATCATTAAATAATGCTTTCGTGCTCGTGCTGATTATTTCAAATGAAAAAGTTTAATCCTTAAAAATCTGGGTAAAAAGCAGCAAGAGTAGTGCCTCGGTAAAAGACAACAATTGTGGAGCTTTGGCAAAAGATAACATTTGCTTTGGTCAGGTTACGGCCAATAAATACAAACGAGTAAAAGACTGAAATAATCGGTCACAAATAAATAAAGGAATTTTATGGAAGCCTAAAAGAGCCATATTTTATTATTTGGTACAGTCGAATCTCTTGCAAACATATAAATTCGTTATAACTCGACTGGTGAATAATAAGTTTGTAAATTTCACGTATAACATCCGTTATAACGAGGTTGGACCGAATGTATTTCTTTGAAATTAACTGACAAGGCTAGCCATCATCAGCCATACTTGTTAAATAATAGGAAGGCTCTAATTTGACCAATTATCCGGTTTTTTCGGGAAAGATTTCTCTGGTCCTAGTCTCACGTATCATGAATTAATATTAATATTGTGTGATAAATAAATAACGATTTTTACTTTTTTCAATTTAAAAATTTTTCCTTGTTTCCTTTTAAATGAAAAAAATTATGAAAAAAGAAAGTAAAAAAAAAAAGTTGTTTGATTTGATTACAGAATCATATATATCATATAAACCTAAATTCCTACCCGACATTAAATCTAGTGATATTGTCGGAATGGTGAAGCCAAAGTCTTATAAATTCCCAAATGCTTTTATTGTTTATCGATACATGGTAATGAAGGAGGTGGTGGGTGAAAGACTAACGGTTTCTCGGATTTCATCTTTGGCGGGAAAGCTTTGGGAAGGGGAATCTTTACATGTTAAAAACTATTATAAAGATTTAGCTCGTGATGCTGGAATAATATACAAACAGAAAGAAACCTACCTTTACATATGATACATTACGATTATAATAAAACTGTTGCCAGCGAAATTTCTCCTCAAGAATTTTATCCTTCTTTTGACACAGCAGATGGCAATAATAATGACAATAACAACAAATACAACGAATCTTTTGATACAGAAAATCTTCTTAATATTAATTCGGCGAATAACTACGACAGTATAATTGAATTTTCCCCCTCAGATCTTCTTAATTCAATGAATAACAACCATAACAACGATAATGACAATAACAACAAATACAGTGATAATAAAAACAACGAGCCTCCTATATCACAACCACCACAACCACCATCATCATCGCCACAACCACCATCATCACCACCATTACCACCACGTCGTCATCATCACCACCGCCGCCATCATCAATTTTCACAATAGTATTTGTAATGATAATCCTTCATGTAAACGGATCTATTTCGTCAACGAACGATGAAAATTTTACAACTTTTGAATAGTATTTAGTTTTTTTATCCAAATATATACAATATTATTTTTTTGATGTTTTTCTTTTATTAATTATTATATACAATTAAACAATGTTTTTTATATAAAAGTTAGGTTCTATATGATTTTATAATATTTTAAAAGTTTATTTATTTTTTATGATTCGAAATAAAAAAATTTATAAATTGGAAATTGATCCTAGAATCGTTGGTCTTTATCCTCCCATTATGGATGTCAGTATATATGTTTTTCTCCATTAATTTGTTTTATGTCATCCTATGGGTTTAATTAATTAATAATAAATAAAGAATCGCTTTGTTCGCGAATAATAAAAATCGGAAATACACAAATGTTTCGCGAATTGAATAAATTTCGTTATTAAATAATTGCTACCTTTTCTCAAGTAATGAATTCATGACTGATTCTCCCAAATGAACTCTAGTTGCAGTTGTGGCCAAAATCTATCAAAACCTAGTCACAGGCTTAGCTGCAACCAATTCTAGAATCAATAATTCATTATCATAAATATATTTCAATGGATGTTCCTTTCTTCTAATATTTTTTTTTCTCAAATATAAAGAAAGGTATACAAAAGGAATTTAAATATAATATATTGTATATATCTGATAGACTCGTTGCCGATTTTACTTGTCAAGTTATTATGTGACTTTTCACTTAAAAGGTTCATTCTGGATAGTCTTAGTATTATTGTTACTTAGAGATGCAATCAAATCAATTGCATATTGTATAATCATTATGAATATTGGAATAGACATGATACAATAGTGGGGACAAAGATATTCATATTCAAGGAAAGGGCTAAATAACAACAGTAATGCTTTATGATTCAACCAAGAAAAAAATTTTAGTATATTATAAGATAAAAAACCATTATAGCAATTGCATTTGGCAGAAATCTATAATAGCCTTGAATGTAATAATTATGAAATTTTTGTTTTGAACGTGTAATTTATTCAAACAATGTTTTCCCTTCTGAAACAAGAAATAGAAAAATCACAATCATAGTAAGAACCCTGTGATCTTTTGGTAACGCAAATGTTCACTTAGTCTGGTTTTGTTGCAGCATGGCCCGTATAAAATATTACGAGAAACCCTTCGAAATCTCGACATCCTACATAGTTTTCCTTTTTTTTTTTGATTTTCATGTTTTTTGACATTTTTCCTGCAAGTTTGATATTGACATAAAACTTTGTATAACAATTCAACAATTATTTCTTTTCCATATACGTTTCACGAATTAAATATCATAATAATAAAAAAGATTTTTTAAAAAAAAAGAATCAAGAAAATATGCAAAACCAAGAACAAAATCAAAATCAAAAAAAAATAATACAACAACAACGCAATCTTTCTATATCTAATACAACTTTAGCACCAATAACATTAACATTACCTAATAGAGGTAGAGCAAAAAATTTATTAAGAAATTATTATGGATTAGGTCCAGATGGCAAAAAAGCCGATCCTTTAGATATAGGTGAGTAAAACCAAATCAATTAATAAATTATTGAGAAGCGAGAATGGTAATTAAGGGAATGAAACACCACTTACATCAAATACATGTGTTTATATATAGATAATGCTGGATTTGATACAGAGAAATATTTTAAAGGTTTACTTGGTGAAAAACATTTAAATGAATTAATGCAAAGAGATAATGATTTGATCACAGGTAAATAAATAAATTGAAAGGAATTGATCTGGAGTTGTATTTGAGTGATATATATATATTTATAAAAATTTTTCTAATTAGAAATTAGACAGCTTAATGGAGATATGAAAACTTTGGTTTATGAGAATTATAGTAAATTTATTAGTGCAACTGATACTATTGAAAAGGTATTTATCATTAGTAGCAATAATAATTAATGGTGGTAATAATTATTAATTATTATAAACAATAATCATAATAAATGATCATTACTGTTACCATTAAAATAAATTTTTTATAGATGAAAAATAATGTTGAAAATATGGAATCGGGAATAAAACAGCTTTCAAGTAATATGTCAAATATTACAAATATATGTGATTCATTAAATTCATCTTTAAGTTCTAGAAGAGATAGGATGATTCAATTAACTAGAGTCCATGATCTATTAAAAAAGGTTTCTTAAAAATTCAACAAACACAAACATAATATATTTAATATATTTACATTTTTTTTTTTATTGATTTTTATGTTATTTTATTTTAATAGGTTCAATTTGTTTTTGAATTACCAACAAGATTAAATCAATGTTTAAATCAAAAGTCATATTCAAAAGCAGTAATTTATTATGTAAAAA